TCGGTGTAGTCAGGTGGCTCAATCCTTCCTTCCTCAGCACAGCGGGCAGAACCGCCCTCCACCCAGCCCGTCCCCAACAGCTTCTCCACTCCTGTTCATCTCCAGTAAGGTAACCAGTGACTGAATTCTGTCATTTATCCCTCCGTTTCTCATGTCAGTCTTCAAACTGCCTTTGATTTTCCTCACTCTTACAGAATTAATCAAGTTGTTTTTCATGCTATAAAGTAATAATAGTAGTAATAATAATGATGATGATGATGATGTTAGAAGGCTGTGATGGACACTGAGTCCATCTTACCATAAAAGTGACCCCAGTGTCACCCGGGTCCTTCCTGGAACTCCCCCCAGGTCTCTCTTTGAATGTTCTTTGCACCCTACAGTTACAACCAAATTTATATCTAGTTATTCTCTCTGTGCCTATTTGACACCATCTATAAATCTTACAATTAACCGGAAACTGGATGGGGAAGGGGCTCCAAAAAGAGTAGGAATCTTAGCTGAGTCTCTTACTGGAACCAAAGATGTGGCACCAGCTAACTATAGGTCTGATCTGTTTGTCTACCCGCTTTGCCAGTGTTATCAGACATTTCTTGAGGCAAATGCACACAGGCACATTAAAGTGAGTGAGGAAAATGACTTCTAGGTCAGAAGGAATCAGGAAACTTCCTCACAGTGCACACTGGATTCCTGGATACTAAGACGACAGCAATAAACCTGCTTCAGATATTTACTCTTCATTTTATGACCCTGTGGTTGGCATTTCACCAAGGAGACATTGGGCTTTCCTCCAAGTCCAAGTCTGTTTCCACTTTGACTCCCAAAATACAATGGGTAGCTTAGTAGCTTCACTGCCACTTAATCCTGGCAGCCCCTATTAAAGGCTTTATGATTTAAATGATGGTGTGGTGTGCTCCCTCAGTGGGTTGATGTTTAGCGGTTGCGGAAAAAGTTTTAAAAAAATATATTTTTAAATTAAAAATAAACTTGTGTTGTTCAAATAGCTCTGAAATGTCCCCCTACACTACTGGCTCAAGGGTAATGATTATGCTTTATTTATCTTAGAATCCTTTGGCATATGTTAGATGCTCTAAGAATATCCTTGGCTAGATGCTGCATAAAATGAAATTTAAATGTCTTATCATTTTTGTATTGTGTTTTTGAGATTTGAAAAGTGTGTCCAATTTTTAGAAAAAATCCCAATGCTTAAATACAAGAAAAAAAAATCGTTCTCTCATACATTTCAAATGAGGAAAGAGGGAATTGGTCGTAAAACCCTTATACCAAATGTTACTTTCTTAAGGTACAGACTAAAACCTCAGACCTTTCCTTCTGCTCAAAGATAATTGTGTACAAAAGATATACACTGACGTTTTGAACACACTTTCTGCATCTACACATAACACTGTCTCCATATTCTGTTTTCTCTGTTTTTTTAAGTCGTTTTTCTTTTTTAAAGTAATCTCTATACCCAACGTGGGGCTTGAATTCATGACGCCAAGATCAAGAGTCGCGTGCTCTCTGGAACGCCTGGGTGGCTCAGTTGTTAGGCGTCTGCCTTCGGCTCAGGTCATGATCCCAGGGTCCTGGGATCGAGTCCCACATCGGGCTCCTCGCTCAGTGAGGAGCCTGCTTCTCCCTCTCCCTCTACTGCTCCCCCTGCTTGTGCTCTCTCTCTCTCTCTCTCTCTGACAAATAAATAAATAAAAATCTTTAAAAAAAAAAAAAGAGTCACGTGCTCTTCCGACTGAGCCAGCCGGGAACCCATCTAAGCTTTCTTTGAAGCCTTGTAATAACAAGCTATAATCATATACAATATATCATCTCTTAAGTAAAGCGAACATGGCTTTAACAATAATTCTTAACCTGCCAATACCGTGAGGAAGCCTAGTGGCAAAGTCATCACTCTCGGGGGAATGGGGAATAATTCATTAATTAATAATTATGGATATTATGGTGAATTATAATTTAAAAGTTTTGAGAGAAGGCAAAAGAAAATCAGAGATACTTTTATCCTTAGAACTAAAAATGCCAAATGTAAGTCCATCAGGCCTTCCCTCCATTAGGAGTGGCTGCCCTACCTCTTCTAGGAGACTTTCTGAATGAATGACTCTTCAGCGGATACATGCACTGCTCCAGGCCTCACTGGTCCCACCACACAAAGTACACTCTGGGTACCACACGCTCCCTCCGTCCAGGAGGAAGCAGAGTTCAAGGGAATGTAACTGGTGGAGGAGCTTCTTTATTCCATCGAGTGAGAGAACTTACTGTTTCCATGATGACGAAGACCACCTCAGTTGTATCATCAGCAGCGTCATAATTATTACTACTATTACTATTATTTTAATCAGACCCTCAGAGAAGCATTTGTTGCTCCATGTAAGCATATTTCATATAGGATCCCTTGGCTCTGTTGAAAAAAATTTCCTCAGATTTCTGGGTGCCCAACTTGAACACTTTTTTTCCACAGAAATGTAATTTATTCATCGTATGAATTAGTTTGTGTCATTAGGTCAAATTATTTATTTTTCTTAGAGGTGCAGCAGAAATCTGTGAGAGCTCACTTGGGTTAAAAAAACAGAACTTCCTACTTCAAGAAAAAGGTCAAAATAAGAAGGAATTCAGTATAACTTAGCTAGGTTAACAAAATTTAAATGTACTGAGGACATACATGTCCAGAATGCCATCGATATTAAGAAAGCTGTGCAAGAGAACTTCAAAAGGAAAATATTTGAGAAAGCTCCTGCTAAATGCTCTCTATTGGATTTTTTTTTTTAAGAAACTACTTAGTTGTTGATTCAACTTGGGCTGTGATTACAACAAGTTGAAAGTAAATAAAAATTCTACAAATTGCTATCAATCAGTGTGATTGACTAGTTTTAATATTGCTTTCTAAAACAAAGCCCCTCATGGAATTATGTAGAAATAAAATCAAGTCGTGTGGGAGGAAGTATTTAGAAAGAATTCTGTATTTCTTATGAAAAGTAGGGCTCACCACGACATTGAGACATTATTCTCAGTTCTTTTTGTTTGTTTGTTAACTGTCATTTATTTTTAAAGGGCAAAGGAACATGAATAAGAAGTGAAATTGAAGGATCTTAATTTTTATTTTTTGCTGGGGAAAGACACCCAGATATAGCAAGTTAAAAAAAGCAGAAGTGAGAAAGGACGGCAATCGAGTTGCAATGAGTTTCCTCCGGCTGCAAACAGGAGCTTACACTGAAGCAGTTTGCATGGCAAATGAAAGAGACAATTCGTTCTCCTTTCTCGGTTCCTTTTGAATCTTTGTGGCATGATCAAGACTTTTGATAAAGTATGCTCATTCCTCCTACTAAGGGATAATGCATGAATTTCTTTGCAGTTCTCCCTTCTCCTTCTACGCAGTTTGGGAGTTCAGAGATCAGAATTTTAGTGCTAGTCACTCTCTGGCTAATGACTTTCTGTATGATACCTACTCTACTTAGCTCACAGAAATATTTTGACAATTAAATGAGATAAATATTCCTCGAACACTTTTCAGAAATTCTTAAAATTCTCTAAGTTGGAAGCGTGAATATTATATCGCTATTATTATCCTTTTGTCTGATGATTCAGAGGACTCAAAGACTAATCCAGTTATCACCGGAACCCTGGGCTTAGAGTTGAAACCTTTGCCTTCTTCTCTTCCTTCTTTCCTTCGACAGCATTTGTTCACCTAATGCCAAGGATCACGCAGATACTGGCGGTTGTAGAGAAGTGTACGTATAGCCCCGACTCCCAGGGTTGAGGGGGAATCCAGCTGGCTGTGGAGCAGAGGAGGAAAGGAAGAACAGCCAAATCTGAGTGGCCCGGGTATCAGTCTTCCAAACAGCCCTATGATTCTATCTTGAGACAATTAGCCTGCATTTGTGAATTTGTTTCTTTCTCTATAAAATGGAGATAATTTTACTGTAAGGCTTCTTTTTTTATTTTTTATTTTATTTATTAGAGAGAGAGAGCGATTGAGAGAATGAGTGGGGGAAGGGGCAGAGAGAGAAGCAGGCTCCCTGCAGAGCAGGGATCCTGATGTGAGACGCAATCCCAGGACCCTGGGATCATGACCTGAGCCGAAGGCAGTCGCTCAACCAACTGAGCCACCCAGGCGCCCCACTGTAAGGTTTAAATAAGAAAGATTTATAGGTTGTAGTAGAGGGCCGAGAACACAGCAAGCACTCAATAAACCTTAGCAGTTACTACTATGCCTTACCGACTTGGTGAACTGGGAATCCCAAGTACCATGGTTTTTCTAGGGGCATATTCTGAATTCTATAGAATCAACTGGCAACCCACCAGAAGGGCTTCTCCAGAGGAAGATGTAGTGGCCCTAACTGAAAACTGTTAGCCAGAATTTAGGCCTCACAAATGCTGTGAGTGCTAACTTGGTAATTTCTAAATTTGGCTTTGTTCACTGCCTCCTCTCCTCCTGATGACAAAAAGGCACTTTTTAAATTTATATTTATTTCTAAAGATTTTATTTATTTGTCAAAGAGAGAGAGAGAGAGAGAGAGCGCGAGCGCACAAGCAGGGGGAGGGGCAGGCAGAGAGAGAAGCAGGCTCCCCGCTGAGCAGGGAGCCCGATGTAGGCGGGACTTGATCCCAGGACCCTGGGATCATGACCTGAGCTTAACTGACTGAGCCACGCAGGCGTCCCAGAAAAGGCACTTTTTTAAAATCATAGAAACTAATGCTTATAGTAACAGCCTATGAGTAATATTTATAAGTAATAAAACTTTTCTGGTAAGGCCATAAAAAATAAATACATGAACTCTCATCAATGTGGCACTACCAAAGAACTAATGACTGAGTTTCTAGAAAAGTAGTTCTTTTTTTTTCTAAGATTTTATTTATTTATTTGAGAGAGAGAGAATGAGAGATAGAGAGCATGAGAGGGAAGAGGGTCAGAGGGAGAAGCAGACTCCCTGCTGAGCAGGGAGCCCGATGTGGGACTCGATCCCGGGACTCCAGGATCATGACCTGAGCTGAAGGCAGTCGCTTAACCAACTGAGCCACCCAGGCGCCCTAGAAAAATAGTTCTGATACTTTGAAGTTCTGGACCCCCAACACAAAGAAGCTCTAAACTAGTGCTTCTCACCTGGGAGCAGTTTTGTCCCCCAGGGGACATCTGGCAATGTCTGGAGACATTTTTTGTTGTCACAACAGGGGAGGGGGTGCTCCTGGCATCTCAGGGGTAGAGGCCGGGGGTGCTGCTAAATATCCTGCAATACACAGGACAGACCCCACAACAAATACTTATTTCACCCCAAATAGCAAAAAGTACCACAGGTGAGGAACCCATGCTGAGAGATAAGCAATACATAGGGCAGGCCCCCCACAAGTGACTGTGACTGATCTCACCATAATGATAAGGTTCTTCCTGGGCAGCAGGCATTGGTCACTCTACTTTACTAGACACTCTCCAACAGAGAAGTTATTTTTTCCATTTTGCAGCTAGGAAAATGGAGGCTAAGAAAATATAAATAATTTGCTCAAAGACCTCTGATGATCAAGGAGCTGGAACTGGACCTCTACCTGCCTGATTCTGAGACCTGGGCTCCTAACCCCTGCCCTGCTGTCGTGTGTGTGTGTGTGTGTGTGTGTGTGTGTGTGTGTGTGTGTGGCCTCAGTCCTCCCTTCCCACATTTATTTTTACTAGTAAAGTGGCTAGTGTTTATTTTGGCTCAGGAAACCTCTGCAGGCCCAGTTCAGAGGATGCATATGTAGAATTGCACCAGTCCTCATGCACTGTGGTTGGGGGGCGGGGGCCTGCTGATCTGCTTTCCCTTACTCTGCCCTCAGCTTTGATGAGCCCACAGGCTCACAGCCACTGGGTCCTGAGAAGACTGTTACAGATGAGGGGCTCTGGCCTTGAGCCAAGTTGTGTGTACCCCTGCTAAGCACTTTGTTGTGAGATAAACTGGAAGACAAAGCAGATAAGCAAACAGCCCAAGCAACTAAGGTCAGTGCCACCAGTCTCTTAATTATGGGGACAAAGGAGCCATGTGGAGTTGGCCAGGCTGGCGGAATATGGTTGAGGTGGCCATAGTAGTTACAGTCATTCATTTACTTCTCAGTGGTCGATGAACCAATCGACCATCAATCAGCTTCTGTGTACAGGTCGTATTACCAATGACTCTAACCAAGGGCTGCTGCAAGGAAACATGACAACGCATGGAATCTTGGCTAAAATAGAGGTCAAAGGTATGTATGTATTGGTTTGTGACTGACTCAATCCAGTGACCTAGAGGAATGTGAACCTTAGGAATTGAAGAACCAGTATTTTTTGGACAATAATATTTGGGGTAAGAACAGACTATATAAAACTCTAGGTCGGAGTTGGTAGCCCCCTGGATTCAGACTGTAGGCTGGGACACCAGCATCTGAAATGACTCTCAGCCCAGAGGGTTACGTAATGAAGATAACACATTTTTATTTTATTTTATTATGTTATGTTAATCACCATACATTACATCATTAGTTTTTGATGTAGTGTTCCATGATTCATTGTTTGTGTATAACACCCTGTGCTCCACGCAGAACGTGCCCTCTTTAATACCCATCACCAGGCTGACCCATCCCCCGACCCCGCTCCCCTCTAGAACCCTCAGTTTGTTTCTCAGAGTCCATCGTCTCTCACGGTTCATCTCCCCCTCCAATTTCCTCCCCTTCATTTTTCCCTTCCTACTATCTTCTTTTTTTTTTTTAACATATAATGTATTATTTCTTTCAGAGGTACAGGTCTGTGATTACACATTTTAATGAGAGCCCCTCCTTAACAACTAAAAAGCTTCTTTCTGTTGCCTGTCACCAAGGGAAAATGAGTTTGGCTATTGAAAGAGGAAGTGAGGGGGGAAATGGAGAGCATGAGGAGAGAGGAGGGATTCTGACTGTTTTGGTTTGAGTTTTTGCTTTTCTCTAGTGGTTGTGAAGGTGAACTTACCAAAGAGTAGAAGTCCAAGATCACTAGATCTTGAAGTGCTGGAGTTCTTATTTTGTGCATGAAACCCCTCTGGATCTAATGAAGCCTTTTCTTAGAAAAAAAGAAAAAATTGTGGGGCACCTGGGTGGCTCAGTCGTTAAGCGTCTGCCTTCAGCTGGGGTCATGATCCCAGGGTCCTGGGATCGAGCCCCGCATCGGGCTCCCTGCTCAGCGGGAAGCCTGCTTCTCCCTCTCCCACTCCCCCTGCTTGTGTTCCCTCTCTCTCTCTGCGTCTCTCTCTGTCAAGTAAATAAATAAAATCTAAAAAAAAAAAAAAAAGAAAAGAAATCCATATGTGATTAAAAAAAACACTTTACTTTAAAATAAAATTCTTTATTTTCCCTTGCCAAATTTTTACTTTTTCATTTTGAAATAATTTCAAACTTATGGAAAAGTTGAAAGAATAATACAACCCAGAATCTCCAAATATTAACATTTACCACATTTGCATTGTCATTCTCTCTTTATATCCATATGTATGTGGGGGTTTTGTTGCTGTTGTTGTTTTATTTTTAATTGAAGTTTCGTTAGTATACAATAGTATGTTAATTTCAGGTGTACAAGGTAGTAACTTGACATTTATATACATTACAAAATGCTCACCACCTATCTCCATACAAGTTATTGCGTTATTATTGACTATGTTTCCTATGCTCTATTTTTATCCCTGGGATTTATTTATTTCGTAAATGGAAGTTTGTCTCTCTTAATCCCCTTCACCTATTTCACCCACCCCCCCCAGCAACCACCTGTTTGTGGTTTGGCAAACACAGCTTCCTTATCCATTCATCTATCAATGGACACTTAAACTGCTTCCTTAATATGTTTACATGTTTAAATATTCTTACTATTTTTTTAACTTTCAGAGTAAGTTGAAGACTTGGTGCTACTTAATCTTTAAATACTTCAGTGTGTATTTCCTAAAAGCAGGACACTTTCTACATAATCATAGTAAGTTATAAAAATTGAGAAATTAATATTTCTTGAGAATGCAATATTATTTATCAGATCAATAAATCTTACTCAAATTTCACTAGTTGAGCAAATAATGTTCTTTCTGGCAAAAGAAAAAAATAGTTTTCCGGTCCAGTATCACATATTGCATTGAGGTATCACATCTCTTTATTCTCCATTTATCTGGAGCAATCTTCAATCTTTCTTTTCCTTCATGACTTTGACATTTTTAAAGAGTATAGGCCATATATTGTGCAGAATTGGGGGATATGTCTTCATGCAGGATTAGCTTCCATTTATGCACGAAAGTGCTGCTGTGTCTTTCCCAGTGCAACACACCAGGAGGCACGTGATGTTGGTTTGTCCTACAACCAGCAGTGTTAATTTGTATCACTTGATTAAAGTGGTATCTGTCAGATTTCTCCACTGTGAAATTATTATTGCTCTCTTTTTCATTAGTACATATCTTATGGGGAGTTTTTTTTGAGATTCTATAATTATTGTTTCTTATCAGAATTTCACCTACTAGTGTTAGCATCCATTGATCATTGTTGCCTGATGTAATTGTTACTATTACAGTTGCCAAATGGTGATTTTTCTAACTCCATCATTTCTTTTACATTTATTAGTTGGCATATTAAGTCTTCTATAAAATGAGGCAAATAATGTGCCCTAACTCAAAAGGCTGTTGGGAGAATCAAATGAGATCTATATGTAAAAGTGCAGCGTAGAATGCCTCACAAATGCGAACCATTCTTTCACTATCCTCCCCTTCTGCTTGCCCCAAGCAAAACATGATGACACAGAAAGTTTCTACTCTCTGATCCAAGACACATTAAACCCCAAGAGCATTTGGCTTCTTCACATAACTCCATGAGATTTGGATTGCAATGAAGGCTACAGAATCCACTCTAGAAAACGATTCAACATTTAGTTATTCAATTATTCAATTTATTGAGGCTAGACTTGAACAAAACACTATACTAGTTGAATTTATAAATATGAAATTTCCTTAAAATGGCTACACATGAAATTTCCCAAGAGGTAGTTACACCAACACCTCACCTCAAAATTATACACTTTTTAACATATTTATATATTTGAGAAGGGAAAATTCTGCTACATGGACATTAATTTGCCACAAATCAATAACTCCTACACAAGAAAGATTTGGAAAACTGTGCCAAATTATTAAGCCATGATCATCTACAAACTTGACTGCTTTAGGAACAGGCACAGCTATAAGAAAAGAATCAACCAGTTTGCTCAAACCTACTGTATTTTAATATTTACCTTGGACTTAGTTTTATCAATGGACAGTTCTCTTACCTCTTCTTCCTTTAGCCAAAGATCTTTTGCCAGGAAGAAAGATGAAAGCAGAGCCCAAAATTTCCTTGAGCAGTGAAGAAGATATATTACATTGAGTGATTTTTTTTTGTCTGAAATAATCTGTTCCTTATAAAGCAGTAGAAACAAAGTTGTATGTATGTGTGCACATGAGTGTATGTGTATAATTCTGTGTGTATGTTTATATTCCTTATTAGGGAAAGAAATACATATACAGGAAAAAAACCTGGAAGAAAATATGTACCAAAAATATTGAGTCAAATGTGATAATCATTACTTCGTTCTTTAATTTTTTCTGTATTTTCCAAATTATTTTTACCATGAGCATAAGTTACTTTTACAAGCAGAAAAAAAAATGAACAATTATTTTAATGGTTCAAATGAAAAACCAGGAAATACCTGTAAAAAAAAAAAAAGCCCAAAGTTTATAAAATTGCTTGGCCTTGAAAGTACTTTGAACATAGTGTTCATGAACAGTCATGATTCCAGAAGCATCCGTGAGGTCTGAACTTCAACTCCAGGGCTTATCCATTGTCCTCTATGAAGCACTCAAGGCCCCTCTTGATTCTAAGGGTGAATCTAGATGAAGGACAGAGATATGTGTGAACATAGAGCAAAGCAAGGAAACTTTCTGAGTCAAAAGGGAAAGAAGTAAGATCTTTCCCACAGATGATGTTCTCTGCGAACAAAGCAAAGCACCTCTTGCTTCCAAAGTCAGAGAGAGCCACAGACCCAGAGCTGTTCCGATGTGGGGTGGGACCTAATGATCTCCTTCCTTTGGGTTGCCTATGACCGAGCTAGGAGGCTGAGCCGTTGTGATGGTCAGACCTGAGGCAAGCAGTCAAATGCCCTCTGGTTCTTGTTCACTTCCTACTATGGGATAGCTTGCTCTTCCCAGGCGATCGGTACCCACGATAAAATGATAGTATTGGCTGTCTTTGTAAATGATACTGTAATATATGGGATTTTATATCCCAAAATAGTCTGAAATCTCACCCTGTGATACTTCTGATATTACACTTCCAAATTAGTATCACACTTGTTTTCAATAATACAATAGCTTGATTCATTCACAACTGTTATTTTGCAGCCAAACATTGTATAATAATTAGTATAACTTTTAAGATGGCATATGCATTTAAATGGCCAGGACTATAAAGTTAATAGGGGCACCTGGGTGGCTAGGTTGGTTAAGCATCTGGCTCAAGTCTTGATCTCAAGGTCATGAGATCAAGCCCACTTTAAAAAAAAAAAAGAACTATAAAATTAATATAGTATTCTTTCTTTAACATTTGTTTTTAATCCAAAACAACTGTGGTATTTCTAAATTGGTATAGTCAGCCTACATGAAATAATTTTTTGTTGTTGTTTAGAAAAAGATAAAAAGGTAATACATGCTTAGGGAAAATGCAAGTGGTAGTCTTCTGAGGAAAGGAGAAAGGAAACCCTCTACCTGTTTGATTTTAGGCCGTAGGCCACCTCTAGCCTGGACTAATTAGTTTTCCAGGTCATTCTGCTGCACTTATGGTCAACGCCGCATGATTTTCCAGAAAGAATTTGCTTTCCTTTGTTCTATGTCATGTGTTTCTTTTTCTCACGGAAAGCTAGTGTCCAAAGAGAATAGAATCTGAGGCTTCTTGATTCTGTGTGGGATGCTGTGCCTTCGGCCATCATCCCTCACTCGCTTCCCATTCATTCCACCCTTTCTCCACGAACTCCCTGGTGGATGCGCCCTTGCATACTCTCTGCATGGAGCTGGGATGGTCTCAGAGTTGGGCTGAAGGATGACAATAGCCCACTGAAAATAAGAAAATGGAAACCAACTTGGAAATATTTTCATAGTGGCAACTACTTTGCCTGACAGTATAAAAATAATGAAGAATCTAATCAATCAATTGGAATTGAACATTTCTAATAGATTTGCCTATTCTACTCTTGAATTTCATGAAGTAGCAAGAGATAAGACTTTACCGTGACAGTCTATGTTTCAGATAGATGAATTCATACATGAGATTACTGTCACGTCAACCCAATGACTTGTGTCAGCTTTGCCATGGCACCTCTCTCCTGTTTACTTTCTCTGGCTATGGTTTGGTTAGTTTTTGCTTTATTTTAGAGGAATGGTTTATCACTTAAATGGCTATCTTCCTAGCCAAATAATAGTTATTTTTTTAACTATTTATTCATTTGAATGCATTAAAATATCTGAAGTTCATCAATGTTGGGTTATAGCACCTTGATGGTACTAATTTAAATTTTCTTTCTAATTTTGAACTCTTAGGTCACCATCTTCTTTTATTGTTCAAGAGAGGAGAGTCCCTATCATATACAGGGGGGAAAAATGTTCTTTTGGGTGTTAGCCCTCCTAATCCTTTGTGGTTTTCTATGGAATTATAAAAGACAACTAAAGATTGCAGACATCACTGATAAATACATTTTCATAACTGGGTGTGACACGGGCTTTGGAAATTTGGCAGCCAGAACTTTTGATAAAAAAGGATTTCATGTAATTGCTGCCTGTCTGACTGAATCAGAATCAATAGCTTTAAAAGCAGAAACCTCAGAAAGACTTCACACCGTGCTTCTGGATGTAACTGACCCAGAGAATGTCAAGAGGACTGCCCAGTGGGTGAAAAATCAAGTTGGGGAAAAAGGTGAGTGATGTGGGGGTGGGAAGAATGGAGGGGGTGTTGTGAAGTAGCTACAGCTGAATAAAATGTGTTTGGATCTTAAATGGCCTTTCAAGAAAATGTCTCCTAAATACCAGCTATGGTACTGGAGAATATTGGAAAAATCTTAGTTAGGATAGAGCCCTCAGTAGTTTCAAGTTGCAAGCTCGCTGTTTGCCTGAGAGACACTGCCCACATTATCCTCAGTCATAAGTCCCAGTGAGTGAATTTAGAACTGAGTTGGAGGTATTGACTTTTCCTGCCCTTCTCTCATGAAATTCTACTTTAGCCACCTTCACAGCAAAGGAACTTAGGGATAAAAGCTACAGGAAATCACGCAAGCAATCCCCAAATTGACATGTGGATACCTGGGACCCACTTCTCAATACAAAATCATTCCAGAACTCACATATTTTCTATGGAAAAGGTAGAAAATAGCCTGAGAATCTGAGTAAAGGTATCTTGGATCATCGTGGTAGAGTAGTAAGCCATTGGACCTCATTCTTCCTCCAGCTTCTGCTAAGATGACAGCATTGCAAACTAGAGGATTTTTATTGGTTTGAATGAAGTTTGAAATATTATCACTAAAGAAGACATTAGAGTCCAAAAAAGAAAAAAACAAATGTATGTAATTTTTCTCTAGCACATCTTCATCATATAGTTGAGACTCCAAACCTCAAAAGCAATGGTTTAATAATGCTCCAGACAATTTTTAATGCTTGAATTCCCAACAATTTTAACAATATTAAATGTTTTCCATCATAAAATAAAACAATTGATGACTACCAAAAATAGATGTGAAGTAGATTGATATTGCTTTTTGTAAAAAGCAGTTTATAAATAAATAATCTCTGGCTTTGCGATCTAGCTAGTGGGAAAAATAGAGCAATTTACTCTGCATCTGAGATGAAAAAGCAAAAGGCTCATTCAGACAGTGTCAGTATTTTACATTCAGAACCAGAAATAGAGTTACTGTGAGATTGGCTTCCAGTAACAGAGCTTCAACTATTTCAATTTAGCCTCCTACCCTCTCGGAGAGTAGTTACTTCCCAAAACTGTAAAGCATTTCAAAGCAGGAATGTGGTTAGAAGGAGGAAAGTGCAGAGTTGTGTAAAGCAGGGGCTGTATTTCCATCGAGGATGCCCATATAAGTGCCATCTTCTATCACACCTCCTTTCTTTCTGCTCTGTTCTAGGTCTCTGGGGTCTGATCAACAATGCCGGCATTCTCGGCGTGCTGGCTCCCACCGACTGGCTGACAGTGGAGGACTACAGAGAACCTATCGAAGTGAACTTGTTTGGACTCATCAGTGTGACTCTAAATTTGCTTCCCTTGGTTAAAAAAGCTCGAGGAAGGATTATCAATGTCTCCAGCATTGGAGGTCGCCTTGCATTTAGTGGAGGGGGCTATACTCCATCCAAATATGCAGTAGAAGGCTTCAATGACAGCTTAAGGTAAAGCAAACATTGACATATTAGGAAATAATAGCTGCTAAAATTTACTGAATGTTTATTATGTATTAGACACTCTATTTGGTGCTTTAAATTATTCCCAATTTGTAGGCAATACCACTGAAACAAAGAGATTAAGTAACGCGCCCAAGGTCACCCAGCTGGTAAGTGGTAGAAGTGAGATTTGAACCTAAGTCTATCCAAGTCTTTTTTTTACTTTTTGCATTAATGCACAATGCTGACAGTGATGGTGAATTTATATTCAACAGGTCAGTTTGTTAAATAGTTAGGGACTCATATAGAAAGCCTAAATCAGGGTAGATCTCTCCATTGGTGTAATGGTCAACCCTCAGTAGAAAATTATCTGGTAAAGCAAATGTAATTATCACAAAATAATGACTCAGCTACACAGCTCTTTTTCCCCTTTTGCTGCAAGTTCTGGGCCCAAATTTCCATACATTTCAGACACTACAGCTAAATGGATGATAACCTTCCCATTCCCACCCCCACACCAAGGACAAGAAAGACAGTTTTCCTCTGATGCTTCCACTTCCAAAAAAAACTTAGAGCAGGAATTTACTAATCAGAGGTGACGATTTTGCTCCCACAAGAAAGCACTGACCACAACTTTTTGCTGTGTTATCAGCGAACCACAGAGCCCAAAAACAAAGGACATATTTAGTAAACAAAGGCCCCAACTCAGTGCCCCCAGGCATGGATTTCTCTGGATTTATACCATTTGAGATTCACTGGCCTTCCTGAATCTGTAGGTTTATGTCTTTTGCCAAATTAGATGAGTTTTCAGCTATTGTTTCTTCAAACATTTTTTCTGCAATCCATTCTTTCTCTTCTCTTTCTGAGACTCTATAACACAAGTGTTAGGCCTTTGGCTTTGTCCCACAGATCCCTAAGGTTCTGTTCACTTTCTCATTTTTCTCTCTGCTATACAGATTGGATAATTTCTAATGATCTACCTTCAAATTCACTAACTTTCCTCCATCACTGTGCTATTGAGTCCAACCAATAAATATTTTATTTTGGTTATTGTATTTTTCAAGTGTAAAATTTTCATTTGGTTCTTTGTCTTTTCTTTTTTCTGGGAAGCATTCTAACTTTCCATTCGCTTCAAGAGTATTGTCCTTTGTATTTGGAGCATTTTTATAATAGCTGCATTAAAGACTTTGATAATTGCAACATCTGTGCCCCTTTGGCCTTAGCATTTGCCATTGTCTTTCCCTATGTGAGTTGAGATTTTCCAGTTCTTTTTATGCTGAACATTTGGAATGTGCCAGTTCTTTTTATGCTAAAGATTTGGAATGACTTGAGACTATGGGTCTTATTTAAGTCCTATGGAGAAGGTTGATATTTTTGTTTTATTTTATTTTTTAAAAAGATGTTATTTATTTATCTGAGAGAGAGAAAGAGCAATGGGATGGGAGGGAGGGGCACAGGGAAGGGCTGAGCAGGGAGCCCAATATGGGGCTCCATCCCAGGACCCTGAGATCATGGCCTGAGCTGAAGGCAGATGCTTAACTGACTGAGCCCCATATTTTTTTGTTTTAGCAGACAATGGATGAGGTTGTGTTCAGGTCACAGCTGCTAAACCATCATTTTGTACTTCAAGATTTCAGTGTTTGTTTGATTTTTAAAGACTTTGCTGTGCTATTCAGATCTGTTCTGCAGATGTACTACCCAGTAGCCAGTCTGGGATATGGATGATGGTTGTCCCAGAGTTTGCTTCTCTAAGTCAGATCCACACATGCACATGTGCAGTGCATAAACAACGTTATGGGGTCACTTTCCTGAGCTCCCCTCTCTGTGATCTTTCCAGTTCTCCCTTGTTTCCTGAGACTTCCATCCAGCCGGAAGTTACCCCATTCTGCCAACTACTTCCCACATGTGTGCTGGATATGGAGCCACATGATGGGAGGAAAGCGAGAGACAGGGTTTCTTCCCACTCTCTTGGAGACTAATAATAACCACTTTTAAAAAGGGATTCCAACTGAAGGGCTTGTATGTTTGCAATGCAGCTATACCATGCCTGAAATTACCCAATAAAGAATGGTTTGGTTTGGTTTGGTTTTTCTCTAAGTCGTGGAAGTGGTATTAAAAATGGTACTCTGCATGCAGGCCACAGTCTAGTGGTGGCTCCAGAATTTCTATATATAGGAGGGTTTAGGGACAATGGTCGAACTGGGAGAAGGCTGGGGCTCTTTAAAGCTGTATTTGCCCAGCATGCATACTGGTTTCATACTGGTTTGACTTACCTGGTAAACTTAGTTGGGTGACTTAAAGCCATTTGTCCCTAGATTATATGTTATTTCATTAGTAGGTGTGGAGACAAATCTTCCCAATTACTTTCTAAAACCCAAAGGAGCTCAGAAGATAGGTGAGTAAAGCAAATTAAGTTAGAAAATAACTTTTTAATAATCTTAATGCAAGCAACATACTTTTCAAAATCTTCCAAGATCAAGCTAATTTGCATTTTTAGTAAAGTACACTGCAAACTAAACACTAGGCATGTTGCTAGAAAGCAGAACCTAAGGTAAATTACATTTTAAGTTCATTGGTAGAGTTCTTTAAAAGTCACATGGTAAAGGCTTGTATAAAATGAGTAATTACTTCCTTATAGATCCTTGGTGGAAATATACATTAAATTTTGGAAATAATTATTCATATAATGGTTTGCAATTCTTTGTTGCTTTTAAGGGGGGGGGCGCGGAATCATGATTCCCCTAAAACCTTGTTGCCCGGTAAATCAGTAGACCTCTGGTTTTCTGAGCCCACATAATGAAAGAGCTCACTGAGCAGCATAGGGAGCAGGTGAGCCACATCAGAGATTGTCACACTGTGTCCCTCAGCCTGTCCTTATTTGTGCCCCAATGTCCTCACATTCCTAAAATGGAGGTAAACTTGTCCATCCAGGCCAATCGCTACTCCATCTCCCCATAAGGTATTTTGCATACTGAGAAGAAACCTGTACTTAACCTGATTGTCTGTTAATTTAATGAGAGACTATATGGCTTAGTGGGGAGCACTAGACTAGGAGTGGGTCTACCCAGATCCCTTTCCCATTCTGCCACTAAACCAGCCTTCACCACGCTGAACTTTCCTCACTGCAAACTCAGAGTGTAGAACAAGATACTGCTTCCGAACCCACCCGATTCTGTGATCCCATGAAAAAATTCCTTAGAAAATAATCACCCAGATAGCAAACATTCTCCAAACAAACCTGGATTAAACATCATCAATGTGTTCTTTTCACAGACGGGACATGAAAGCTTTTGGTGTGCATGTTTCATGTATTGAACCAGGATTATTCAAAACAGGATTATCAGATCCAATAAAAGCCACTGAAAAAAAACTCGCCATTTGGAAGCATCTATCTCCAGATATCAAACAGCAGTACGGAGAAGGTTACATTGAAAAAAGTAAGTCTCTAGGTGGACCCAGGGTTCCTCTGGGGTTCATTGTCATAGGCAACATGAAGGAGACTCAAACATAAATGAAAAAATAAGGTTTTCATAATAATATACCAATAGGGAGATTAAATATGGATCAGAGATCCCTATTAATTCCAGTGCCATCTCTTACTTCAAACATTTACTGAGCATTTACCAAGTGCCAAGTTCTATACTAAGCACCTTATGAATTCTTATCATTTACTCCTCAAAAGAACCATTGGGTAGTGAAGAGAGGCTTGGAAAGGTGAATGTTCTACCCACAGAGGTACAACTCCTCCTGGTTGTGCCGGGACTGGACCCCAAGTCTTCACCTCTACACAAGCCTCCTCTTTTTGGAATATCAAGACTCAGACTCTGACCCTTAACCAGCTTACAGTCTAGTTGAGGAGAAAAAGTAACCAAGTGAGATTGTAAAACAACGAGATTGTGCAGCATGCAAGAAAATTGATCCTGTACTCCTTAGACAGAACCGAACAGCCCAGAAGGGGTGCTAGACAGTATAGTCTCTAATTGCCCAAGGAATTCAGCACTGGATGAAAGCATTGCTGGTCACGTGGCCTTTATGAGACAGGTCAGGTTTGAGTAAGGCCTAAAGGCCAGGAAGGAATTATTTGGGTGGAAACTTTCCAGAGCAGGAATGCACGGGGGGCGGAGACAGAAGGCAAAGCCGCGTAAGTCAGATTGAGTCAGGGATGGAGAAATAATAGAGTATGATGACTAACATTTAGTGAACATTTACTATGTACTCGTCACCATTCTAAGGGCTTTACATGGACTGTCTCATTTAAAATGCCCAAATAAACCCTATGAAGCAGATATTGGCTGGATTATCTAGAAACAGAGGCACAGAGAAGCAACTTGCCCAGTGCCTCACAGTTAGTAAGTGGAAGCGGGGGCTTTGAACCCAGACCACCTGACTTGGCCATCTGTTCTCGGCCCCACGCTCTAAAGGGAAGGAGGCCTGAAGGAGCTGATGGAATTTCCTGTACCAGGCCCCGCCTCCACCTCAAACTTCCTGGTCCTGTTTAAAGCTTCGTCGGGATTCCTCAAACACATACCGAACTCTGGCTTTAAGCCAAACAGGGCCCCACCTAACTTTGTGTCACTGTAACCTTGAAACGCTGATCCTGCCTTTTCATCAGTAGGTTTGGTGAGAGAGCCAACTGTGGCAAGGTTCAAGGCTGGGAGTTTTCAAGCTGGAGCCAAGAGCCAAGTCAGGTCCACCTGGGGAGGTTTTTAGGATGACGGACGCCCCCAGCCACCCCACCCCACTGCACATACGCACCTGCGTGCACGTATCAATGAGAACGTCTGGTTTCACAAACCTCCCAGTGCTATCATGTCACTATATGCTGAGAACTACTGCTGTTAAATACACTTGTATCTGAGCGCCTGGGAGGCTCAGTCGTTAAGCGTCTGCCTTTGGCTCAGGTCATGGTCCCAGGGTCCTGGGATCAAGCCCCACGTCAGGCTCTCCGCTCAGCAGGAAGCCTGCTTCTCCCTCTCCCACTCCCCCTGCTGTGTTCCCTCTCTTGCTGTCTCTCTCTTTGTGTCAACTAAATAAATAAGATCTTTTATAAATAAATAAACGCTCTGGTTTCTCACTCATTACCAACTGAAGATTTTTTTTTAACTTTTTTTAAAGATTTATTTATTCGAGACAGTGAGAATGAGAGAGAGTACATGAGGGGGGAGAGGGTCAGAGGGAGAAGCAGGCTCCTCACTGAACAGGGAGCCCAATGCAAGACTTGATCCTGGGACTCCAGGATCATGACCTGAGCCAAATGCAGTTGCTTAACCAACTGAGCCACCTAGGCGCCCCACCAATTCTGAAGATTCTAAGTAGGTTCAGAAATAGGGGCGCCTAGGTGGCTCAGTCGGCTAAGCCTCTGCCTTTGACTCAAGCCATGATCCCAGAGTCCTGAGATCGAGCCCCACACTGGGCTCCGCGCTTAGCGGGGAGCCTGCTTCTCCCTCTCTTCCCTGCTTGTGCTCTCTATCTCGTAAATAAATGCAACCTTTTTTAAAAAAAAAAATCCCTCATTTAAAAGAGCTCTCTCTGTTTGATATTGACATTGATACTTTCTAAATGCCTATGAATAGGTCATCAATTTCCACCTCAAAATTATTTTTGACTTGGCCCCTGGCTCAGGTGTCCCCTCTAAGAGGTACCAAAAGTCTTTAAGCCCAATTTTGCACTGTTTTTTTTTATTAGTTTTCTAAACAAGGACTTGAACATCAGCCAGACTCATAGTTCCAAAGAAGACCATGAATTTAAGCTCACCTTTCTTCATTTCCCAGGCTATAGTTATAAAAATTTAAAATAGCCACTAAGACTTGTTAGGTAATCTCAGTTAAGTTCTTTGAACAACTTGTGGCTATTGGGGCCTGAAGTTGAAAAGGAGATTTTTTTTTTTTTAAAGATTTTATTTATTTATTTGAGAGAGAGAATGAGAGATAGAAAGCACGAGAGGGAAGAGGGTCAGAGGGAGAAGCAGACTCCCTGCTGAGCAGGGAGCCTGATGCGGGACTCGATCCTGGGACTCCAGGATCATGACCTGAGCCGAAGGCAGTCGCTTAACCAACTGAGCCACCCAGGCGCCCCGAAAAGGAGATTTTAAATCATAGATTTTCTCTTGAGAAGACACAACTCAGGTATGTTTTAAGAGCACTGTAGGAATGCTCCGAGCCATTACCAATCTTCTGATAAAATACCTGCCTCTTTAAAACTATCCTAGCTCATTACTCAAGCATTTCATCTGCCTGATCACCAGGATATGTTTAGCTTTCTGAGTCAAGACTTTTGGGGATGATTCCCTCTTTATTCACCCAATTATAGAGGCACATGGTATGTAGGTGCACATGCACACACATGCACATGCATACAACACATCCATGTTTCCTATACATATAGTATTCCCTCAAAACAAATTTGGAATCAAACCCGTAACTTCCTGGGTTGAGGGGGGGCGGCTCGTATACTTTATAAAATATCTTTCCCTCATTGTTTTAAAGTAGTGCTTCTCAAAGTCTGGTCCCTGGACCAGCACCATCAGCATCACCTGGAGACTTGATAGAAATGCAAATTATTCAGTCCCACTTCACACCCACTGAGTCAGAAGCTGGTGGTGGGACCCAGCAATTGGATTTTAACAAGCCCTCTAGGAGATTGTGCTGTCCACTCAACTTTGAGAGCCAGTGGTCTAACGAAAGCACTGCTGCATCCTTTTCTGAGGAATAGATAGAAACCCACCACAAGAGGCCTCAATTTATAACAGTGAATTCAAAATAAATTTTCACACACACATCCTCCCCTTTACACCCTGCCCTCACACACTCCTTTTCTCCTTCTTCCGAAGAGTTAAGTGTACTTTTTTCTCTTTCTACAGGTCTAGACAAGCTGAAAGGCACGAATTCCTTTGTGAACGTGGACCTCTCCCTGGTGGTGGAGTGCATGGACCACGCGCTCACAAGTCTCTTCCCTAAGACCCATTATGCTGCTGGAAGGGATGCCAAGACCTTCTGGATACCTCTGTCTCACATGCCAGCAGTTTTGCAAGACTTTTTATTGTTGAAACAGAAAATAGAGCTGGCTAATCCCAAGGCAGTGTGACTCAGCTGACAACAAATGCCTGCCCCTAGGCTATGAGATTGGCTGCTTTCAAGGACACATCTCCTTGGTCTCATTCCTCACCTAATCCAAACTGGCCTCATTTAGACCGTGCTTCTTTTGATAAATGAGGGGGTCCCACCCACACTGGGAATGTCCCAGGGTCCCTTTTTAGGACTTCTTTGAAAAGAAGGGCAGCGATGACCTATCCCATAGAAGGGCTCAAGATTTAGGTTTTGCGGGGCACGTGGGTGGCTCAGATGGTTGAGCGTCTCCCTTCGGCTCAGGTCATGATCCCAGGGTCCTGAGATGGAGTCCCGCATCGGGCTCCCTGCTGGGCGGGGAGCCTGCTTCTCCCCCTGCCTCTGCCTCTCTCTCTCTCTCTCTGACTCTCATGAATAAATAAATAAAACATTTTAAAAAAAATTCAGGTTTTGCCTACTTAATTGATGTAAGGGAAATTGAAAGCCTTTCCCATCCAAAACGCTCTCTACCACCACCAGCCCCATGCTTCTAGCTCCCGCCCCTTGAACTCCAGAATGTTAATTATGTGTCCCTTATCACAATGTTCCGAGATAAGTAGAATACTTTCATGAGTGGATTGGACGTGGTTATTTTGCTGAGAAGAAGACTCTGAAGGACTGGAACTCCGTTTTGTAAGCCATGGTGGGTGGCCCGGAGAAGGAAGGGTGAGGAAGCATCATGTGACTGGTATAAACTAAGGGGAGCAGAGAAACACTAGGTAAGATTGCAAGTGGGAGGGGAGGGAAAGAGCAGAAGAGCAAGAAGACCGAGAAGAAGAAACAAGATGCAAGTGGAGGGAGGGAGAGTCCAAGACAAGCCTGCTTGGTCTCGAGGGAGGTAAGGAGGGTGCACAGCCCATTCAAGGCCACAGTGAGCACAGATGCGTACACAGCTATCTGTGGAAAGCTGGTAACAACAGCATAACCAGTCGTTCCGAAGAAGAAAAACGTAGGGCATGTATGTTTATTATGGTGATTGTAAATACAACAAGACCCAGAATTTCTGAAACAACTTACAACCCAAGATGGTTGGAAAGCCTGTACTTGAGGTGTCTCTGAAGCCCCATGCAGATACAGAGCTAAATTAGTACTCTTTGGCCTACAGTTACAGTGACAGCAGGCCTGCTCCTTGCTCATATTTGTGGTCCTAAACTGGATTGAGCTTGGCCCCACACCTCCTCCAAAAGCAAGTTCTCTACACGGATGCTTCCCCAGATACCAACACCCGGTATCACTCACGTAGGTTGGTTGAAGATTCACACGAAAAACCTGAAGTGTCAAAATTCACTATTTGTTGCTAAATAATATAGGGTGAAAGAGCCAGGAAAATTACATCGTGTACACACACACACACACACACACACACACACACTTATTGTGAAGAAAATAGTTAATATCTGCTGCATGAAACCATACCCATTTGAAGAGATCAGTAATTCTATTCATTTTCCTTCACCTTTCTGGAAACATCTGTTTATGAGGTAATCTCCTCCTTTCACATTTACAACATATTAATGACTTTGAAAAATTGAATTTCCGATGGTGTCAGTCCACCTGCATATATATGTCATTATTTTAAGGGGAAAAGACACTCATCCTTTTTGCATGAAACTGAAGAAAATCACAGCAAGAATCAGAAGAATTCTCAGGCAAATTTATCTAAACTATTGTCACTACTTCCCCGTGAAGTCATCTCCATCTTGGTCCTAGCCCCAGTGACAATTCACCTTAGATCTCTAATTTCTTCTTGTTGCATTAACCACCTGCGGGTTAGGTAACCCTTGCACAGCTTGTCCTTGGAGTTGAAGTTCATCAACGTTGTTTGCTGGGGCTCTTCCATCTCACCTTGAATTCCCAGATCCTGGCTTCGTTTCACTATTCTAAAAATGTCTGGCCTGCTTCTCCCCGATCTTCCTGGACTCCATGGCTGCAAATGTCTTTAAAATCTGCAGGAACCTGCTTTGATGAACTTCCAACCATTCCAGTTGTGTTGTTGGGTCTACCTAATGGTATTATTTCCTTTGTTTTACCTAGGCCTGAGTTCTTGGCTCATTTCTCCAAGTCACTACCACTGGCAAATCCCTGCTTCATTCAATCCAAAAGAGTTCTACTAAAATGAATGCTCCCAAATATGGTGTCATCTCAAAATAAAACCAAATATATCACCCAAGCAACCTTTAAAGTTTTTCAAACTAAAGGAGAAGGTGGCAGTATTTGGAATATAAAGATACAGTCTCAACAAAAGCACCAGACCTGGAAGAAAGGTGTGGAGAGAGGAAGGGAGGGACATGGGAAGGCCACCGCACCAGGAGTCTGAGGTATGACTGCCCAGACTTCTCTCCATCTCACCATCACTTCTAATATTCTCTGTGCTTTTGGGAAAATACCATATTTTTATCTATAGTCTTTGGGAAGACATATACTGGGCATTCTGCTAAGTCCTGGCCAGTAAGGAATGACATGGTCCCTTCCTTCATAGAGCTCAATATAATCCAAAAGCTGAGGCTACTACTCAGGATGCCTTAGAGGAGCTTCTCCAGGAATCTATGGTCCGGATAAATTGAGATGTTGTCTTTCTACCACCTCTCACTTATGGGGATCTTTCCTCACTTAGTTTGGAGGCACCAGGAGAACCTCCCAGACTTTTCCTCTGATCTGATCTAAAAAATCCCACTATGTCCTCTCTGGCTCTATCTGGGTATCCACAAGGTATTCAGACCTGGAGTTTCTATCTCTCTCACCTCACCTACCCTTTCGCTGGCAAGCACCAACTATTTTGATCTCCTAAGGAGATATCTCAAGTCTACTACTCATCTCCAGGGCAACCATCTGTTCAAGCTTTCATCAACTCTTATCTCAACGATAGCATATCTACCCTTGTATACCTCCAATGACTTCTCCCCACTGCAGTCAGAATTGTTCAAAATTCAAATCTGATTATTCTACTCTTCTCCCCACCACCATTTTCTTTAACCCTCCAATGTGTTCCCATTGCATTTTGGCTAAGAACTAAAATGCATTACATAAATGACATTGCCCCTCCTCATTAGACTCATTTTAGGCTATTCTCCTCCTCAGCCACCCCCCTCAGAGCCTTTGCCCATGTTCTTGCCTAGAAAGTTTCCATTTTACCTGCTTATCTAGTTTCTTCATCCTGGAGATCTCAGCCCCTTCCTCAGGGAAGCCTATTCAGTTCCAAATTCTGACCACAGTCTTTGTACCCCAACTAGGTTTCTGTCTTGCACAGGGCACTTATCACAGTCTGTCATTACATATTTGTGTGGTTAGTTAGTTAATATGGGTCTCCCCAACCAGACTTTAAGGTTCACGAAATCAGGAGCCATGATGCTTTGTTTATCTTTATATTCCCTTGCCTAGCACAGTGCAGGCACACAGACCACTATTCAAAAATACTTATTGAATGAATTTAGAAATCAGCCTATATGAGCCTTTCTGACTAGGGGGCAATCTATCACTTAATATAGGGCTTGCCAATGTCATTGGTTGTGCTTTTAAAGAATCAGTTTGATTAAAATTCTGAAACTTCCTTAAGCCTCTGACTACTTCCACGAGGGCTCCTACCTCTGATTCTTCTGTAAGCTTCCCTTTGGAAACTAGTTGCCATGGTGACTTCTCATCATCTGTTGGTCCCTAGACACTGTGAAGGAACCTCTGTCCATGTTGAGCCTTTCTGGGCTCAGTGGTCACAGTACAGGGAGCATCAGGAATCATTTCATCCACTTCTCTGCCTATGGGATGATATGGCCAAGCCACCCAGGCTAAAGAGAACCACTTCAAGTTAAAATCTCTCCTGGGGTGCTTGGGTGGCTCAACTGGTTAAGTGCCTGACTACTCTTTATTTCAGCTCAGGTTATCATCTCAGGGTTATGAGGTCGGGCTCTGTGCTGGGCATGGAGCCTGCTTAAGATTCTCTCTCTGCCCCTCCCCTCCTCTAAAAAATAAAATAATAAAATAAAATAAAATAAAATAAAGGGGCGCCTGTGTGGCTCAGCTGGTTAAGCAACTGCCTTCAGCTCAGGTAATGATCCTGGAGTCCTGGGATCGAGTCCCACATTGGGCTCCCTGCTCAGCGGGGAGTCTGCTTCTCCCTCTGACCCTCCCCCCTCTTGTGCTGTCTCTCCCTCTCATTCTCTCTCTATCAAATAAATAAAAAATCTTTAAAAATTTTTTAAAAATAATATACTATAATAATATAATATAATATAATATAATATAATATAATATAATATAATAATATACTTTTCCAGAAACCCATAACTTCCTCGGGCAACCCAGCCAATATCTAATAAAGAAAATAGCCTGGAACTTCTAAGAAAAATGACCAATTTTGGCTTTATTCTCTATTAATCCCAATAATTCTCAGGAATGTGAAAGATCAGAGTTCCATCAGTATGGAGGAAATAGCTAAACAGTCTCAAAATGGAAAGCCTTTTATTATATAGAAATTATTTGTAACAATCTAATCTAAGCCACAGTTTTTAAGGACAATGCTGGTCACCAGTTTCATGAATTTTTGCCTGTTAAAAAATAAGACAATTCTGTTAATATTCATAATACTGACATTCTTTCTCAACTCTGTGACTCATTTTCAAAAAGAAAATATGAATAATTCCCATCCTACTATATATATGAGGCACTAAAATAGCCAGGGCTCTAGTGCAGATTCTAGTTTAGCTGAATCTCCAAGCTCTTTTTGCACACAGCACCTGCCTGAGAAAGAACCAGATCACAGCTCTTGCCTGATTAGCCCCTAGAAATAAATAGCATTCTGGCCTGAAATAGGTCAGGCAAGGCAACATAGCATTCTGTCACATTCTACAACCAGCAACTGTCCTGAACAGTTCCATTTCAGTCCCTTTTGAGAAACTGGACATGGAAAGGATTCCACTATAGATACATAGCACAAGCCCTGGGTGAAAACCATTCAGTCCTATGCTGGGGAGGGCGTGGGGGGGTGCTAATTACTCTCAGCCATCTGGGTCTGTTTTTTCCCTTAGATATGGCAGCTGGAACTCGAGTATGATGCCACCCAATGAATAGTGGTGTCTGGTTATGGATCAGTAATCCAAGCAATCTAGCCTCCCACAGGTATAATAAAAAAATATTATCAATGGTTATTTAATACTTAGTATGCGTCAGGTTCTTAATGCATTTGGATATCGCACAAATGATTTCATCTAACCCTAACCATATCTCAGGCATGTTTTGTTGCTGTTACTGCTGTTTCATTTATTTGTTTTTAATGTGGTAAGAACACTT